TATGCTGGGGAGGTGAGTTATACATAACCGCATCACTTTATGTTAGCTGTACTGTATAAGTTAATGTGGAAAGTCTGGGAAATTTAAAATGAACCTGTCTGTCTTGGTCAGGTCCTATATGATGTTCGAGGGATCCTGGAGAAGAACAGAGACACCTTCAGAGACGACATCCTAAACATGCTCAAGGACAGCAGGCAGGACATTCAGTTACATTAAATGAAGAGTTGTTTGGATCTGTAATAAGTCCTGAGATTGTATTAAGTTATAGGGTCAATTCAGTCATTCAACAAATAAATGCTTTGCATGCTTTGCATGTCCTTCTGTTTACCCAGTTTTTTGAGCTGGTATGAATCTTGATGCAAATTTATTCTACTTATTTTAAAGACTAATATACACTGTTTTTAGGTGAAAACCATAATCCAAAAACTAAATATACAGAAATGTGCTTCTGACAATGTCTGATAGGCTTGGAGGACAACTGAATCGCCCCAAAACTGTAATATCACATCTCATTAAGAAATGTCAAGTTCTCTCTTGCTAGCAATATATTGATACATTTCCTGAAAATGTCTTTATTTTTCAAGAAAAAAAAATCAGCTACAGTTTCATCGATATTATCAGTATTTCCACTAAAATCACTTATCATGTGTGTGATACATTATATTTCTGCTGCTTTGCAGGCTGGACTTTATCTATGACTTATTTGAGAAGGTCGGCAGCAGGAACAATGAGGAGAAGATGGGAACAGCCAGACGCAAACCTACTGTGAGCTCCCAGTTCAGGGTGAGTGATGCAAGCAGTTTGAAATTATTAGAGACCCAACGTAACATGCAACTCGCAACAAAGGGTTTAAACCACAGGCGGCTGAGAGAATAGTTATGTATACATTTCCGTGCTTAGTCTAAAAAAAATATAATTAAAAAGAAATTAATGACAATGTCCATCGTATTTTCCCAGAACTCACATCTTCAAATTTCCTGTTTTGTTTGACACAGTGTAAAAGATAAAGATATTCACTTTATAGTGATATAAAACAGAGAAAAGCAACAAATCCTTACATTTTAAGAAACAAGGAATAGTAAATATTTGCAAAATAAAGTAAATGACTAATTGTTTCAACCCTACTGAGACATAAGAGCTGAGGATGAACTATTTCAAGAAACTATTTTTTCAAGGTTCTTTTTGTACATGTAATGATCATTGAAGGAGTAACTATGGTCATTTTGTTCAACAGCATGCAAAAGAAAAAACATTTTTTTTCCTTTCTCTGTCTCCTCAGGACTCCCTCCATGCTCTCATGGCCACTCTGAGTGTATCCAACCCTTTCTTCATTCGCTGCATTAAACCCAACATGAAAAAAAGTCTGTTTTTGTCTCACACCTCTATCGGTTCTCAAATTCACATTGATACTGTCTCAGAGCCTGACTGACAATCACCCTCATTATATATTAATGTTATATAATCTTTCTTATTTTACTTGTAGAATCCAAATGTGTTTGACCCAGAGGTCGTCCTGAACCAGCTGAGGTATTCTGGGATGTTGGAAACTGTGAAGATCCGTCGGGCTGGGTTCCCCGTCCGCAGAACTTTCAAAGATTTCTTCTCTCGGTGAGTATCTCTGTGTCTCTGAATTTTCACCCATCTCTCTCTCTTTTGTTGTCCCTCACACTTCTTTTCTGCCTACCAGGTATAAGATCATTCTGAAAGACAAGGTACCAGCAGCAGTAGATGATAAGAAGAGAAGCACAGACCTTCTAACCAAATATGACAAAACCAAGAAAGAGTGGCAGTTTGGCAAGACTAAGGTAAGATTTAGTAGTTTTTGGCAACAACCTTTCAGACTCTAGAAAGCTATCGTGACAGACATGATGATGATATGATGATTTGAACCACCAACACTAGTAACAATGATGATAAACATTATCCGTCATTTAATATGTTTTCTATACATGACATTAGATGTCTTCAAGATAACACTCCACCTTTTGTTCTGCAGGTGTTTATGAAAGAGTCTCTGGAGCAGCGTTTAGAGAAAGACAGAGATGAAATCCGACGCCAAGCTGCCATGATAATTCGAGCCCACCTACTTACTTTCTCTGCCAAGTAAGACCCTCCTAATATGACATTTTGGGCATTCATGTACAAGACGGTGCCTCTCTAATAGCTACAAAAGATACTGTGTGCTAGTCCTTCTGTTTTATGTTTTTCCATTTTTGTCTAAAGGAAGCACTTCAAGCGTGTACGTGCCAGCGTCGTCACCCTCCAGAAACACTTCAGAAAGCACATCCAACGCAGACGGTTCTTGAGGCAGCGCAAGGCGGCGCTGGTGCTGCAGAGACACAGGCGAGGTCAGGTTGCGCGTTCTCTAGTTCGAAAACTCAGAGAGGAGAAGAAGAAGGAGGAGGAACAGAAGAAGACAGAGGAGGGAGAGAAGAAGACGGCAGGCGACGGGGAGCAGGAGGAAGTGAACGAAGGAGATGAGAAAAAAGATAAATCCTCTGAGGAAAATTCAGTGCGTCAAGTTTAGATTTTTTTATATTATAACCGTGGATTGTGCAGCTCATTCTCCTCCCTTTGATTTACAGAATTAAGACTGAAAATAAAATTTTTGGTTTGTTCAAATTGTTAAATATTTCCATTCCCTCCACTCTAGGACGAGGCCCGGCAGATGGAGGAGATCCTGCAGCTGGAGCGAGAGATCGAGCGCTTGCAGAAGAAGAGAGAGGACGAGGTGTCCCAGCTGTGTGAGTCCTCCAAACAGGAGCTTCAGCTGCGCCGGGATGCTGAGCTCAAACGGATGAAGAAGGAGGCGTCGCGTAAGGCCACGGAGCTCATTGACCTCCTGAACTTTGGAGGTGTGGATCCTTCTCTGGGAGCATCCGCATCCAAACCTGCTGCAGAGGCGAAAGCTCCCAAAGCCGCAAGTGCTGCCAGAGATCCGTCCAAAGAGGAAGAGGTGGACGAGGGGTTTCACGCTGAAGAGGAGTGCATCCCTCTCCCTGACTTCCCTCCTCCTGCTGAGACAGACACTCCTTTGGATCAGGAGATATTTGCTCACCTTCCTCCTCCCCCGCCTGCTTTTGCAGAGGGGACAGTGCCTCCTGCGCCACCTCCTCCCTCTCCTCTGCCTGCAGACGGCGTGCCTGTAGCTGGAATTCCTCCCCCTCCTCCTCTCCCTCCACCTGAAGATGGCTCGGCTGCCCCTCCTCCACCACCACCACCACCGCCCCCTCCCCCAGGAGAGGGAGGCAAAGCAGAGCCGGAAAGGAAGGTGAGTATGGTGGAGAGCCTCGGCGACGGCGAGGAGCCTATCTACAGCATGCCGGCTGACACAGAGTCAGATTATGACCAGGAGGAGGAGGAAGGGTCCGTCACTGCCGGGGACGACAGCTCCGTATCAGGGAGCAACCGCGGGAGTGCCGCTGTGGCGGACGAGGAGCACCCGAGGAAGTCGACCTGCACCAACGCCAGCATCGAGTCCTACAGAGGCAGCTCTGACTCTGTGAGGACACACACTCACACGCATCCTCACACGCGTGCACGCAGATATGTATGAACAGCTGAACAGTGAAAATCTTTTGAATTTTTACTCAGTATTGTTAAAACATCTGACAACGTACTGTACTTATAACCACTGTTGTGTTAATTTGTTGTTATACAAAAACTAATTCATGTTGTTGTGTGATGTTGCAGTATGCAGACAGTGATGATGAACATGACGGCATGATGGACACTGATGAGGAAGTGACTAATGGCAGAGTAACCCTGTTTAATGGAAATGGACCACCATATTTTCACGGTTACCTCTACATGAAGGGTGGGTAAATATCCTCTGTGTTTTTAAACTTGTTTTCTGAAGATGTCTTTAACTGTCATTTTATTCTCTGCTCCTTCAGCTGGTCTGATGATCCCATGGAGGAGGCGTTGGTGTGTGCTGAAGGATGAAACCTTCATGTGGTTCCGGTCCAAACAAGAGTCTCTTAAGTCTGGCTGGCTCTACAAGAAGGGAGGAGGCCTCTCCACTCTCTCACGGAGGTTGTTGTAGTTGTTACTGAGTGTAGCCTGCATGCTACTTGAATGAAACCAAAGTAACAAGTGTTGGAAGTGCTGTCCGGAACAATTTTGATTTGAAAACCTCATAAAGTAGTTTTGTATTTGTCCATGGGTTAATAAGATCCTACAAAACTCAAAATCCTTTAAAAAGTAAAAAGTACAGGAGTTCAAAATGCACCTTCATCTAACTTAAAGCACTGCTTTTCTTCTCATCTCTTTAAAAACAGATGTTTGGCTGCTTGATGCATGGTGGCTTGCTTGTTAGAAAGACTGTCTTGCAGTTTGAAGACAGTGTGTGAATGACCATCTGTCATTGATGAATAAGCCCCTGTGTCCTGTTGAGGTGTTCATATGTATATCTAACCCGATGCTTTGAACCCTCTGCAGTGTTGGAAGACTTCAGTTTCCTACTCAAGCTGATGTCCTGAGATTTTACTTTTCAAGTCTTAGTTAATAATCTAATTTAAAGAAGTAAAAAGCTGATTGTTTAAAATATATTTAGGGTAAAAGTCTCTGAGTTACATTTCGGAAAAGAGGAGGACATTGTTTGATGCTTGTTTTGGTTTGGTACACATTACACATTGCTCCAAATATTAACAACAACAAAAAAAAGAAACAAAAAGAAAAACAAAAGACACAAGTTCAATCCAACATGGGACCTGGACATGCTGAAACAAAAAATGGTATGCATGAAATTAAAACATAACACAGAATAAAAGGTCATGTTGTATGTTATGTTATAAGCCATAGTGGTCCTGCAAGTTGTCTTTATGAATATGTGATCTCTATGAATTGACTAGATTAAAACGTAACCAGATTACTATATAATCAAAAATATTCAGAGACCTAAAGTACATTAAAAAAGCTATTGCTACATAGATTTTGTGTATAATTACTTTCACCCTTGTCTACATATATGTAGTATGTCAGAGGTATTCTTTATCAAGAAGCTAACTTTGTATTCCAGACAGAAATGTATTATTTGTAGAGTCACATAAATTTGTTTTCTTTAAATTGTTTAGAGTGGGTTGCCTTGGCCTTTATTTTCATTGTCTAATTCTACCTCAGAAACTGGAAGATGCGCTGGTTTGTGCTGAGGGACAGCAAGCTGATGTACTACGACAATGACAGTGAGGAGAAACTGAAGGGAACCATAGACATCCGAGCCGCCAAGTAAGATTTATAGGAAGTTCCAGTGTCAAATAAAACCAACCATATATCACATGTGATCCCTTATTCACTGTTCTCTGTTGTCTAGACAACAGCTGCAACATCTTTCAGACATGTACACTGTTTGTGTTGTTACAGGGAGATCGTGGATAATCATGAAAAGGAAAACGCTCTGAACATTGTGACGGATGAAAGGACCTATCAGGTGTTTGCTGAGTCACCAGAGGATGCAAGGTGTGTTGGAGACGAGTGATTTTGTAGAAAACAGCAACATGTTTCTATTTGTATCTGAGTAGATTCTAACTTCTGATTGTCTGTCTGTGCAGTGGGTGGTTTAATGTGCTCAGTAAGGTGCGTGTGTGCACTCCTGAGCAGCTGCTGGAGATGTCCCATGAACAGGCTAACCCAAAGAATGCTGTGGTCAGTCTCTCAAAACAAGATGACAACAACTTATTGTTTTAAGTTATTCCTCTGTCACACTCAATGTCATGGCTTTTATGGAACAATGCATGATTTTAGATCACTTTGTGTTGAGTTCGATTACTTTGCAATTGCTAATGTTTTGCAATTGCTAATGCACCATTAATGATATTTTAAATGGGAAAAAATTTTAATAATAAAAAAATAATAACATTTTAAATGGTTCTCCCTTCGTCTTCCTTCTTCTTTTGTCCTTCAGGGAACTCTTGATGTGGGGCTGATTGACTCTGTTTGTGCTTCAGACAACCCTGATAGGTAAGTTGGATCAGTCATCCTGAAAGGATATCCTGATTCAATTTTCATGTCGAGGACCATTTTTGATTTTGTTCACGTTTTTCAAATTAATACATAATTTATAGATAATAAGATTTTTTGATGTCAGTTCTTCCAAATAAAAGAGAGCTGATTTCTTCAAGCATGCATGGAAAAAGCATATCCACTGTAGTGTAGTGTTTGAGGACAAAATTAACATAAAAAAATAGATTTGAACAAATGACACACAACAGACCTGCTTCTGTCTCTTTGTTTTTCTTACCTGGAAAACTTGAAAACTCAATATGCCATCACTATCTATCTTATTTATACAACCCTTAAAGGTGCAGTAAGTGATTCTTTTTGCAAAATCCAACACCATGAAAAAAATCATGATATAGACCAAACAACAGCTCCAGAAAGTAAGCTGAATGTCTGTGGGCAAGTCATTTAACGTTAGCTGTATTAGTGTTGTGTGCTTGGTCCGAGCCTCTTTGTTTGTTTACTGAGCCAGGGCTATGTACAAACACTGGGTTTATTTTCAGTGCACAGCTAGCGAACCGTGAGGAGATATTCACTGAATCTGACAAAAAGACGTACTTTGGATTAGAATCGCTTTCTCCACCTTTAAGTATCCATTTGACCTTTGCAGGCCCAACTCCTTTGTCATCATTACGGCCAACCGTGTGATCCACTGCAACAGTGACACGCCAGAGGAGATGCACCACTGGATCAGTCTGCTGCAGAAACCCAAAGGTGACGCCAGGATAGATGGGCAGGAGTTCCTTGTCAGAGGTGAGTATGAATTTTTTTTGGCAATATGTGTAAACCTTCACGTGTACTTCTCTATCGGAGGATTTCATTACTCTTTAGGAATTGTTTGAATATTATGAGACGTAAAATAGGATCAGTTATTGATGTTGATAAATGTAAAGTTGGGAGCTTCAAAGAGTAGTCAGTTTACTTCTTATAGCCTATTTTACCATTTAAAATATCAGTGAAAAAGTGGACAAAGTATAAAATATGTGTAATAAAATGCTTTTTAGAGAGTGATGTAATTTCCAAAACAATAAATGTTCTTAAATATTTAAAATATCATGTTGTGAGAGATTTTTGGTAAATGTATCCATTTTAAATATGAAACAGGGAAATTCTTACTTATACTTTTTGAATTATTTTTCAAATCATTGAATAATTTTCCAAACCTTGTGTTACTGTAATAAAACATTACCTTCTCACTGTCTTTTCTCTCTTCCTGCCTCGTCATCTTTCAGGCTGGCTCCAAAAGGAGATGAAGACAAATGCTAAGAGCACCTCCCTGAAGCTGAAGAAGCGCTGGTTTGTTTTGACCCACAACTCCTTGGATTACTACAAGAGCTCAGAGCGAAACTCCTCCAAGATGGGAACTCTGGTCCTTAACTCCCTCTGCTCCATCATTCAGCCAGATGAACGAGTGCACAGGGAGACGGGTGAGGAAAGAGGAATGAAGGGAAAAGACAGAAAGGGCAAATTTAATTAGGGATTAGATATAGGAGGTTTGAGACTACATGTAAAGAGATGATTCTGGTTTTATATTATTTATAAAAAATATACTGGATTTCATTAAACTAAAGAAAGGAGAATGATTATATCTGTGTTATAAAACTGAAACATCCCCTTAGTGGAAATATTTTTTATTTCATTTTGGGGTAATAGATACTACAGATGTACTACAGATGTGATGACTGTAATGAATGTTTTCACAGGTTACTGGAACATCATCGTTTACGGGAGGAAGCATTCCTACCGCCTTTATACCAAGATGCTGAACGAGGCCATGAGGTGGACCGCTGCGATACAAGGGGTCATAGACAGCAAGACCCCCATAGAAACTCCAACTCTGCAGCTCATTAGAGACATCAAGGTAAAACACACAGAGATATTCCTAGTTAAATGTTGATTTTCAAAGTCATAATCATAAACTCGAAATTGAATTTGATCTCTTTGTGCCCTCTCAGGAGAACAGCGTTAACCCAGACATTGTGGAACAAATGTACAGGAGGAACCCCATCCTCAGATACACTCAGCATCCTCTGCATTCCCCTCTTCTGCCGCTCCCTTATGGAGAGGTCACCAGCCGTGAGTAAAGCTTAAATTCAATGATCCACACATTAAAAACTGAGTGTCTGAGTGTGCCCCATCACCCTTGTGGTCACTTGTGGTTCACTGCCAGGTAGTAGACAAGAGTATCCAACTTTGGAAACATGCCAACAGAGGTAACCCACACTTGATGCACACTTTTCTTAAGGTGGCTTTGAAGTAATTTTCAGAGCTAAGAATATCCCACAATTCACCACGGTCACCACAACATCAGTCCGGTTGTTGGCAGTGCACCTATAGTCTGGTTTTAGGACTGACGACAATCAGCAGACGTGAAGATGTTTATGACATGTTGGATTCAGCATTATTATTATTAATCTCCAAACACACAGATGTTTTCACATAATATTAAGAATCTGTTCTTCTTAATGGGACTGATGAGAAAAATATTGCATATCTGACACTATCAAGATTAGACTAGACAGTGCAATTTCTGGAGAAATTGCAGAGTGAATGCTGGCTGTTGAAGACTTATGCTAAACTGGATTGCTAACCTTAAACTTTGTATCATTTTGAATGATTCACAGTTTTCAAAAATAAATTTCTGGGTTACAACCCCAGAATGCAAGCTCTCAAGCTGCAAGCTGTAGATGCTCCTGTCTCTTTAAGACCCCCCACCCCTCCAAAAGCCCACTGTGTTCTGATTGGCCAAGATCCTGAAGCAGGATGATTATGCTGAGACAGAGAGAGAGGTGGACTATAAGACTGTGAGACTGTGAGACGGACTGTGAGACAGAGAGACAGGTGGACTATAAGACTGTGAGACGGACTGTGAGACAGAGAGACAGGTGCACTATAAGACTGTGAGACAGAGAGACGGGTGGACTATAAGACTGTGAGATGGACTGTGAGACAGAGACATGTGGACTAAAAGAATGTGAGACGGACTGTGAGACAGAGACAGGTGGACTATAAGACTGTGAGACTGTGAGACGGACTGTGAGACAGAGACATGTGGACTAAAAGAACGTGAGACGGACTGTGAGACAGAGACAGGTGGACTATAAGACTGTGAGACTGTGAGACGGACTGTGAGACAGAGAGACAGGTGGACTATAAGACTGTGAGACGGACTGTGAGACAGAGAGACAGATGGACTATGAGACTGTGAGACAGACTGTGAGAAAGAGAGACAGGTGGACTATGAGACTGTGAGACGGACTGTGAGACAGAGAGACAGGTGGACTATAAGACTGTGAGACGGACTGTGAGACAGAGAGACAGGTGGACTATAAGACTGTGAGACGGACTGTGAGACAGAGAGACAGGTGGACTATGAGACTGTGAGACAGACTGTGAGACAGAGAGACAGGTGGACTATAAGACTGTGAGACGGACTGTGAGACAGAGAGACAGGTGGACTATGAGACTGTGAGACGGACTGTGAGACAGAGAGACAGGTGGACTATGAGACTGTGAGACAGACTGTGAGACAGAGAGACAGGTGGACTATAAGACTGTGAGACAGACTGTGAGACAGAGAGACAGGTGGACTGTGAGACTGTGAGACAGACTGTGAGACAGAGAGACAGGTGGACTATAAGACTGTGAGACAGACTGTGAGACAGAGAGACAGGTGGACTATAAGACTGTGAGACGGACTGTGAGACAGAGAGACAGGTGGACTGTGAGACTGTGAGACAGACTGTGAGACAGAGAGACAGGTGGACTATAAGACTGTGAGACAGACTGTGAGACAGAGAGACAGGTGGACTGTGAGACTGTGAGACAGACTGTGAGACAGAGAGACAGGTGGACTGTGAGACTGTGAGACGGACTGTGAGACAGAGAGACAGGTGGACTGTGAGACTGTGAGACAGACTGTGAGACAGAGAGACAGGTGGACTATAAGACTGTGAGACAGACTGTGAGACAGAGAGACAGGTGGACTATAAGACTGTGAGACAGACTGTGAGACAGAGAGACAGGTGGACTGTGAGACTGTGAGATACAGAGACCCAACTGTTCAGAAAGAAGAGAACAGTGTGTGTGGGTGTGTCTGTTTGTCTCTCTCTGTGTCTGTTATTAGTAGTTGTAGTAGTAATTAATGCAGTAGTAGTGGTTGTAGTAGCAGATGCAGTTCTCTGGATGTAGTACACTTAACTTCATTCAAGAAATAGCTTAACGTCTGTCCACCAATCGGAACACAGGACCAAGTGTGTGTGTGTGTGTGTGTGTGTGTGTGTGTGTGTGTGTGTGTGTGTGTGTGTGTGAGAGAGAGAGAGAGAGAGAGAGAGAGAGAGAGAGAGAGAGAGAGAATGTGTGTGCGTGTGTGTCTCCCTTTGATCTTTCTCTGCTTATTATCATCACCTGGGCAACCAGCTATCCTATATAGACAGATAGGAATCTCTTTCTGAGACTTTGCCTCAAACAAACCTCCCCAGAGACGAAATGACTAGACCGAGAGCGGCAGAAGGCATTGGTGAACAATATGATGTATTTTTTGTTTGGATAAACTTGAAAAAAGTGACCACTTTGGCGAGTTGAAAAACTGGTACCTTCTGCTCTGGTCAAGAAAATTTGAGGAGAACTTACAATGGCAGCCAATGGATGAATTTTCTGTCACTCTTGTCCTTTGGAAGGACACAGAGACAAATCTATAAGTCCGAGGGATTTAAAAAGCCCATTTGAGGAACCACAACAAAATTTACTATGTTTCTGGTGTATGAAGAGTTAAAATTGTGGTCAAGTCAGCGAGTTAAAGAGAAAATTCTAAGAAGATTTTCTGAGCCTGCTACACTGTAGTGATGATTTCACCCACTCTAATTCACACAATACACACCCATTATAAACTCAGAAAAGAGCTCAAAAAAGCATAAAACTTTGACAGTTACCGTGAACAAACCATAAAATATATCAAAAAGCTGAATACATCATTAATATATTAACTTCTTGTGACCAATTTACAGTTAAGTCAAGTCAAGTCTGTTGCTCAAAGTATGCTGAACTGGTGAGCTTTCAAAGTGGAGCAGGTATGAGGAGGATTTCGATGTCTCTCCATTCACTTACAATGGGAGAATTTTCCTGGAAAACCTTGAATATTTTGAAAAGTATTCAAGGTATCAATGACAAAAGTAATAGCACCCCATTCCTCATTGAGCCGGACAACTTGGAGTTTCTATGTCAAAAGCTGTGGGACTAGTTAGCGGACAGAAAAACGTGACGGAAGAATAATAAAGGTTAGCAATAACATAGGATGCGAATGCTTGCAGCATTCATACCCAATAATATTAAATATCATATCCTTTTATCAAAGATTTCGAGAAATATATTCCATCCTTGAAAATTGTAGTATAACCTTTCAAAAAATAAATAATTTTGTGCTTCTTTATGTACATGTGCTCTCAGCTCCTGAGTGTGCATTTTTTTACTTGTTCAAACAACTAATCTGAACTGGACTGTGTAATGTACTACTGTAGTATTTGTATTTGCGTGAGTGACGGGATGTCCTTATAAATCAAGTGTGTCCCAGTGAGCTTTGATAAACTTCCACACACAATACCGGAAGTGAGGGTCCTTGGACGGACCCTTTTCTTCTTCTTCCTCTTCATCATGCATGGCCGCACCTCTTCTTTTTTCTTCCCTAATGAACATTGTGTCTTTGTTCATTTTTTGCTTTGCTTTTGCTTTGTCTGTGTGCAGTACAAAGGCAGCAGGGATATGCCAGTCTGCAGGATGAGGCGGTACGAGTTTTCAACTCACTGCAGGAGATGGAGACGCTGGCAGACACGGTGCCTATCATTCAGGGCATCCTGCAGACCTGCCAGGACCTGCGCCCTCTCAGGGATGAGGTACTTTATTATTCAAGAAAAGTCTACTTTACTTTCTTCTCAAATCTTAGTGGGAAATTATTTTTATGTGTTAAAATACAGATAAAATTTAATAAAGAAATGCAGGAGTAAAGGTGACACAGTAGTAATATAAGTATTACAAGTTTTCCGGAATGTTGTCTATCCTAGCATTGCCTATGAACTTGTGTCTTAGTGCTTTTTCTACCATAAGATATACGAACATAATGTTTCTGCAGTGGTCTGACATGTTTGTTTGCTGTTAAATGCTGATTTAAACTTTGAATTTCTCAAACCCCTCCATACTTCTGTTTTTCAGGTATATTGTCAGGTGATCAAGCAGACCAATCATGTGCCTCAACCTAACAGCCCAGCCAATCGGGCACACTGGCATCTGCTCACCTGCATGAGCTGCACCTTCCTACCCAGTCGTGCCATTCTCAGATACCTCCGCTTCCACCTCAAGAGGTGTGTGTCTGTCTGCATTATAGATTGTGCTTTTTTTGAGATATAACTCAGGGACATAAATATGTTATAAATCTGTATTGTGATCTGATTCAGGATCCGTGAGCGTTTTCCCGGCACAGATATTGAGCGTTACGCCAGTTTCATCGGGGAATCCCTTAAGAAGACCAAGACTCGTGAGTTTGTTCCCTCTCAGGAGGAGATCGCCGCCCTGCTGGTGAGACAGGAGATGAGCACCACCGTCTACTGCCACGGGGGAGGCTCCTGCAAGATCTCCATCAATTCACACACCACAGCTGGAGAGGTGCACATCAAAACGCACACACAAACATACTGATGCATCCTCCTCTCAGTCAAATATTATCCCTAATGGTTGAATTGCAGTGTGCTGTTACAAACTGGTCAGTGTTGTTATGTTGCTGCTGCAGGTTGTGGAGAAGCTGATCAGAGGTTTGGCCATGGAGGAGAGCAAGAACCTGTTTTCTCTGTTTGAACACAACGCCTTCACAGACCGAGCTTTGGAGAGCAGAGTGATTGTGGCAGATGTTCTGGCCAAGTTTGAAAGGTTCTATGAACAGTATATAAATGTTTTCTTTCTTTCTTTCTTTCTCTAATCTGTAATAATTATATCTGCACAAATTTCGATTGTTTGATGGTCTTCGGTGTCATATGGTCTGAAAACTAAAGATTCCATCTTACTAGTTTAGCTGTTAACAATATGTTGTGGTTGTTTTGAGCTGCTTTACCTATTTTTCCAGACTGGCAGGCAGCGAAGAAGAGGAGGAGGAAGGAGAATGGAAGCTCTACTTCAAACTCTACTGCTTCTTGGATGTGGAAAGCATGCCAAAAGAAGGAGTGGAGTTTGCTTTCATGTTTGAGCAGGTGAGCTTCACTGTACAGTATGAGAAGTAACTTTGTTTAGGCTTTATTTAACTCTTTAAATATTATTACAATAAACACTGCTGCATGATTGTTGTGGGACAGTTGTTCTTCTCTTGCATAAAAGTAAGTACATTGCAATTCAATTTACTTTTTTTTCGGACCAGGTGTGGTTGGTTCTATAGTCAATAAATTGGTTACCAGGGCACCAGGGAAACACACCAGGGAATATCATATTGCATTAATATATTATATACCATAAATAAAATGTTTACTACTTAGTAACTAGTTGAGAATATTACATAATGATTGATGTGATGCTTTATTAAGTAAAAAACTGTGATGTAATTCCATTAAACTGCTTCTTCAATTTTATTCTTCTTCTCTTTCTTTCTCTCAGGCCCATGAATCTCTTATAAGTGGTCACTTCCCTGCCTCAGAGGAGACTTTGCAGCACCTTGCCGCGTTACGTCTCCAGTATCTCCACGGTGATGGGGCAGGTCGCGCCGGGTGGAGCCTGGGAAGCGTTTATCCGATTGGTCGTCTGCGCAATCGCATCCTCCACTCCACCAAGCCCGGCGTGGGGGCGGCAGGCGGAGCTGGAGGAGCTGGAGGAGGAGGACCAGGAGATGGGAAGGGCACTGCAGGAGGTCAGGGAGTTGTTCCACCTGGGGCAGAGAAACGAAAGACCCGAGCTTCCTGGATGGCACCCTGAGGAGAAGCTTTAAGACTGGTTCACTGAAGAAGCAGAAGGTCAGTGGCGGAAATAAGATTTTAGCCCATTTACTGCAAATCATGTGTACTTTATATTAAACCTGACCACTTTGCAACCACAAAAGGCAGATTTTTAAAAAATTTGGTAGATTTGAACAAAGATTACAAAACTAAAGCTAGCTTCATGAGTCTACTAATCTTTTTTCATGTAGTATGGAAATGAATGGGAACAAATACTGTAGTTGCTTGTAACTTAAAAAAATAGCACTATATGATTGTGTGATCTCATTACTTTAAAATACCACTTTCATTATCATTTCTATCATCACACCAATGTTTCTCTGTTGATGTCAATGTAAATATAAATTCTGACTTTGTGGAAGCTCAGGAGGCCTTAGTGAATTGGACAGTCTTGTAATCCATAATTTTACCCATGTCCACATGGAAATATTTATTCAGATTGTGTCATAGCTGTCCTGTGAAATCCAGTCCAGAGCTGTGTTTCTCCGCTGTAGTTTTGGAGTGTGACAAGTCTCATGTGGTGGATCTTTGCATTCCCATAAGCTCAGTCAAATCATTCTGGTTCACTAAATGACAGATGGACCTCCCAACAAACTGGATTGCTGTCTGATTGACCGATTGTTTGATAGTTTGACGGAGTATTGGCTTGGGTTGTAGGTGGAGGAGGAGCAGATGCTGGAGATGTGGGTGAAGGAGGAGACGTCTGCCACACGGACCAGTGTTCTGGAGAAGTGGACCCGGCTGCAGGGCATGCCTCAGCATCAGGCCATGCTTAAATATATGAGCGTTATCAAAGAGTGGCCTGGGTATGGATCTACTCTGTTTGATGTGGAGGTGAGAAGATAATAGAAGAAATGTTGGGTATCAGAGATTTGTGCAAATACCTGATGATAACCTCTTGTTGTCCCTGCTCTCTTCTCTTTTGTCTCTATAGTGTAAAGAGGGCGGTTTCCCTCATGATCTGTGGCTGAGTGTGAGTGCGGACAACGTGTCAGTGTATAAACGAGGTGAACCTAAACCGCTGGAGACTTTCCAGTATGAACACATCACCTTCTTTGGGGCTTCACAGCCCTGCACCTACAAGATCATCGTGGATGAGAGGGAGATGTTCTTTGAGACGCCACTGGTGAGACCTCATTATTAGGGCCCGAGCACGACCGTGCGAGGTCCCTATTGAATTTGTAAAGATTATATTTTATTTTTTAGGGCCCGAGCACGACGTGCGAGGTCCCTATTGAATTTGCTAAGATTTATTTTTTTTTTTTTTCTGCAAAGTAAGCTCCATTTTGGGGACCTGAGCATACTCGAAAACTCACCAAACTTTGCACACATGTCAGAACTGGTGAAAAATTTCGTATTTTATGGGTTTCGTGCATGGGCGTGGCAAAATGACTCGCTAGCGCCACCTAGAAAATTGGAAAAAATTAGCCCCTCGTTCACGTTCAACCTACATGCACGAAATTTTCTGGGGACATGTATCATATCAAGACGCACAAAAAAGCCTCAAGAACCCATACCCTAAAGTCAACAGGAAGTCGGGCATTTTGAATTTTACGGCCATTTTTGGATGATTTACACACTCCGTACTTTAACAAACTCCTCCTAGGGATTTAGTCGGATCGACGTCAAATTTCTGCTGTGCCTTCTAAAGGCATTGACGATGAAAAGTTGTGCTATTTGCGAGTTTTTGTCAATGGGCGTGTCTGTGGCGTCCATGATTCGCCATGAAACAGGAAGTTGTTGTAACTTCAGTGTACATGCTCACATCTGGACCAAAGTGTACATGTAGGATGAGAGTCCCACCCTGAACACATGTACATGCCGACATTCACCCACAGTCATAGCGCCACCTGCTGGCAACAGGAAGTGACCTTTAACGAAGCAGCCCCCGCCGCACGTTTCACCTACGTGCACGAATTTGAATTTTCTTTAATTTACCTTTTATTTCTTTTTCACTTCATTCTTTTTTTCATCCCTTTTTAGTGCTGCACTAATCAAGATCACGACTCATATATTAACCGACCACTTTTTCTCTCTCTCTTTAGGTTGGCGAGATCACCAAATCATGAGGGCCTACATCAACATGATGGTGAAGAAACGCTGCAGCATCATGTCAGTAACCAGCGTCACCAGTTCCTGGGCCAGGTGATTCCCACCAACCAGTCAGAGCCCTCGGGTTCATACAGTGGCAACAGATGCCTCAGCCCCCCTTGCATTGGTTGGTTGGTTGGTTTTGATGGAGGCAGTCGCACCAACCAGCTAATCCTCTAGGTTGAATCAAGGGTGTTGGATGATCATCTATGATCAAACGGGGAAAGCAAGATAGAAGTGGACACAGAAGCCAAACGCACACTCTACTGGCCTGGGTTTCACATGGGATAGGGGATAAGGGATCTATTTAGAAATGAGCATGACAAAGAAAAACAACCTGTATTTTGGGACGGTCTTTTCAAATACATAACCCCCCAGTTGTAGTCCTGCATGTAGATGTTCAAGCACACTCCAAACTTCTCTCCGTTTTTTTTTTCGGACAAAACTCAGTAATAACAAGCACAACTCTGCCGCCCAGTCCCTGCCTGTCCCAGGTGGCTCCCTTCCCTCCCCTCAGTGCACTGCCAGACAGAAGAAAGCCACACTTTCTCAGTTAACTCTCTTTCTTTCTCACTCCTCCAATTTTAGTCTCTCTCTTTCTCTTCACTGGCCCCACTCCTGTTGCATCTTTGTTTGGTATTAAGTTGTAATGCTGAATTCTTGTTCTTGCTTGCTTTCTCTCTGTTGTTCTCTTTCTGTCGTTTATCTGTGACATCCGCTGTTCTTAGATCTGTCTGTGACTGAGAAAAAGGACTCAATGATGATTCTTCTTTAGGGCTACTAAAGGGAAAATGAGCTCCCTGCCCCCACATAGTGTTCACTTGCTCACTCATCAGTGCCACCGTGTGGCCACAAGAAGAAAACACAGCTAAAGGAAAGTGGCTTTAAGTATTTCTGAACATGATCAAATAATTATTCTTGAGAAGAAAGAGTAGAGGTTTTGTTTTGGAGGCTCTCTTGTCATGTTTAGCTTGACATGGAGAGTGTGCATGGTTAACAGTCTCACTTGGCCTTTACTTGAAGAACAGTATCAACCAGAATATAAGACAAAACATTTCCCTGTCTATGTCTACATATAACACACGCTGCATATCTACTGTATATTCGTATACATGTACACTTAAACTGAACCAACATTTATCGTTTTGTACTGTATATCAAACGTTATAAGAGTTATTGTTGAATTTGCAGTGGCCACTGCACTGTACAGTATATAGATGCTATACTAAATGCAATGTGACACCTCCAGTGTAAATTACATGCAAGTGAATGGTGTTAATAATGACCACTGTATGTCTGAATATGATGCCAATACTGTACATTATTCACTGGCTGTGCCATTAATGTGACTCACAGAGAAATAACAATTAATAGTAAAAACACAGACCATAATGAGACTGGCTGCTATGGTATGTTTTCATAGTGTTTTGATGAATTGGTCATTGTTGTTATCTGTGGGACTCACTCTGCAGCATTAATTGGAGCCATAAAATACTGTATATCCTTGTCTGCTCATGCTATTCTCAGTTTTTCTTTACGAAGATCAGTGACTTGAACAATAATGCATAAGCGCTCCCCTTTGTCTGTGTTTCCAACCTGTTTATGAACGTGTGAGTTTTATTACTGATACTAATATTATTACTGTATGCCCCCTGCTATCTTAACCACACTGAAGTGCTGTGTCTGGAATGCTGTTGTGTGTGTGTGTGTGTGTGTGTGTGTGTGTGTGTGTGTATTTATGGTGTAATCCAAAACGTTGGAAAAGAAAAGAGAAATGAAAAAAGAGAATTGGTTTTACTGTGTGTATTTCTTGGAAATAAGACGTATTTACATGACTAACCTTTCCCAAGAATGATGTTGTGATTGTGAGTTAAGGGGAAAAGCATGGGATTTCAAGGGAGGGTTTTGGGGTAATTTATTTCGTATTGAACTGTATGTAATTGCAAGGTATGTTTGGGAGGATAATGTATTAAAAATATAATGGATTTTTTAAGGCTCAGTGTAAGAGGAGATGAGACACTGTGAGGATGTGGGATCAGAAATGGTTTAATTGTGCACTGGGAATGCTGATTATGCTTTGTGTGCGTGTGTGTGTGTGTATGTTTTGAACTGAAGGGGAAGTCACTGTAATGTTAACATCACATTACTCTGTGGCACTTCAGTTAGATGGCAGCATCCCTCATGTGTAACACCTAGAGGACAAAAATGTTTCCCCACATCAAATATCCAGGGGGAACACTTAAATATGTCTAACAGCTACACATGGTCCAAATATAATTGAGTTAACTAGTTTCTGTGTCAATAATAATTTCAATATTTGCCCTGCAAGCAGTTATGGTTTGCTGCTTTTCAGGACAGATATTTAAGTGAAGTTGAACTTGTTGAACTTGTAAGGTGAAATTGTCTACTGTCTATCTGGAGTGCCACGTACAGGGCCTGAAGCCAGGATATTAGAAACACTGAGGTCATAAGTCCAAATGAGTCAGTGAAAACAAACTGTATAATTTGGATCTTATGTTGTCAAAAGATTTTATTTCCCAACATGGTCTAAATACTGTGTCAAGACCTCCCACATTACCTGGAATAAAACTTGGCTTGCAAATATTCAAATTTAAATATATATTTAGTCTAAAATTACAGGAATCAGCCTATTAAAGTATCCGTGTATATGTTTTTCCTTTACTACCATTTCGAAAGTTCCCAAATTATTAGAAAAAATACCAAGGACATGCCCTCAGTGTCTTCAATGGTAGCTGGCCTGGCTGCATACACACAGCCCACTGGGATCCTCCTGCCTATAGAGTTAAAATAAGCAGAACTCCCTCACAGGTTCCACTTTGTACTTTTGGTTATTTTAGTTTTGGCTAAAATGAGAGGCGAACCAGAGAAAGCAACCCATAAGCCATAATTAACGAGGAACCTGGAGCTGTCTGTTCTAGTTATTCTATATCTATGGTTCTGTCTGTCACTGATATTACACTGAGTTGGAAGAAGTTGCCCCATAGTTGCTGAAATGTGATTGATGTGGATACTAAACAGAACAATGAAATGAAAATCAGATTTTGACGTATCTGATCGCAAATCTGTTTCCAAGGGCAACTTCATCACAGAGGGTCCTGTTATCAGCCGCAGGCGGCCAGAGTGGGGCCCATTCTTATCTCATGTTATGCTTATTATCATCATTACATAGTAAAACATACTGTGTTTTGTTTAAAAAAAAAAGAGAAAGAGAGAGATATGTGTGTTGTACCTTTTTATTTGTAACTGGCTTTACAAAATTATGCTTTAATAAATTATTGGAATTATTGTCCTCAATTTTATGTTGTCTTTGTGAATTTATTTTGTCACACATTGTCTATTGTAATTACTTAAGTGCAATTTTGATGTAACCTACTCCATTCCCTATATGATAGTTATAGTCTACTTCTACTGTGCAACATTTCAGATGGCAATATAATATTGTACAGCCATAGTAGTTACTTTACAGATTAAAGCAATAGTTTAAGATTTTCAGAAATATGCTTAGCTTATTCACTTTCTGGCAGAGAGAGGATTGATACCACTCTAGTATTTGTTAAATATAGTTAGCTTAGCAAATTGTTTTTACAATTTGGTTTTTGTACAGATTAAACAAACGAGATATAACGTTCTATTTAGTGACCTTTAGAGGTGCTTTAGTAGGCTAGGTGGATTTTGTCCCCTTTTGACAGAGCTAAAAACAAAATGTTTAAGAGACATATGGACACTCCAGGAGGTTACTGCACCTGGCCGAGAAATAGTCTGGCACGTAATACCTCAGCGTGTCATTTTCACACTTGTATGATTAAACTAAGATATGGGCCTTAATTCATGAGCTTTAGAGGTGGTGGACTTGTTACCTTCGGACAGAGCCAGGCTAGCTGTTTCCATCTGTCCAGTCTTTGTGGTAAGCTAAGCTAACAGGCAGCTGGGTGTAACATGTAACTTATGGCCAGGTTTTAAAATTTTCAATTTTCAATTTCAATTTTTCAATTTTTCATAACTAAATTCAAATTGGCTTAACTGAACTCCCCCCCCAAAGAAAAATCGTCAAAAGCCATGAACATGCAATCCTTGGTGCTATGTTCCTCTGGATGGTAATTCCAGGGGAGGAGGAGCAACAACAATGTTTATAATAAAACCGGGGCAAAAGAGGACAGAAAGTCAGGGTCATGTGCAAACCAAAAGATAATATTATTACAATATTGACAAGAAGGGTGAATAAACACAAAACTACTCTCTCAAAAGAAGAAAGCGACGAAGCAGGTATGGCGATAATCAACACAGGTTAAATAACTAAAGGAGCCATGTTCAACACTGGCTGAGTATACAAGTGAAGTCCTCCCACCACTAATGGGGTAACCCAGACACCTGGTTCTGGACTCACGGAACCCAGCCGTTGTTCATACCACTGGTTCAATGGTCTGCCACTGTCCGTTGGCCTGGCTGAATAGCAACGATCTGCTTACCGGATTTTGGCTCCTGGTCTGCTCAGCAGTGTGGTCTCAACAGGTAGAAGAAGAGAGTGCTGTGAAAAACCCAAGCCTTCTTAACCTCCAGGCACTGTGGTAATCAGGCTCACCTGCTGCCACTCTCTCATGCAACAGAGGCATGGGGGAAAGGCCACTACCTGAGAGAGCAGAGAGCGAGAGAGAAGGAAAACACCCCAAACCAAACATATGACCCTAGGGTCACTTGGTTTATGAGTCCTGTGCTCTACTAATTAAGCTAACCAGTGACACTGAAAAGTCCTCTGAAATGATCCTAAAAAAACTTACCTGCCGACCCCTGTTTTCAGCTATGGTTTGTTATCTCAAGATGATGAGAAATTATTCCGTTACCACAGGAAAACAACATTCATTATCACGAGATCTTGAGAAAATGATCTCTTTATCGTGGGACAACAACAGTCGTTATATCGAGATCTCAAGATAATTATCCCGTTATCATGAGTAATGAGTAAAAAAAAAATTTGAATGGATGGCCGCTTAGGACTTCCGTAGAATGGTTTAAACTAATACCAACAGTTGTTTAGATTGAAGGCGGTTAGCCAGGAATCTATAGCTTATTTGCATTGTAGGCCTATAACATAAATTAATCATTATCATAAATTAATCAACATAATAGCTACAATGTCAAATGAGATCTATCAACAGTTTCAGAAAGCCACAGAGAGGACGCAAGTCAAGGTGAGCTCCTGGCAATACAAGCAATCATTCAACATTTAGCCAACATTACATGTTTGGTATCAAAATTCATATGATACCTCTGGCTGAGTGAGCTCGAAACTACCTTCAAAAGACAGTAGCCTAATTTCAGAGGGTAAGCCATGTAAACCAAGAACTGAGCAGGAGAATAATTCCAGTTTTAAGATCATGGTGATCAGTGATGCACAGTCTGATGAAAATATAACATATGGTTCTATTTTTCACCTTTATATGGTTAAATTACGTTAGCAATAAGCTGCAGTAAAAAGTGTGGCTTATTTAAACAACAGGAAACTATCTCATTAAAAGATATACATCAGTTTTCCTTGTTTTTTGTGTGTCACTGTTAGACCTACTTCTGGTCGGATTTATTTTTCTTCCATTATATTTATTTTCAAAATAACAAGTTGTTTTTCTAGGAATGATAGGCCTAAAGCAAACCTCATTTAACCGTACTAAAAGTAGACTAGTTATCACACACTTATTGTAGGCTACAGCAGGGGTGATTTTAGACGAGTTTTAGGGGTGCCTAAGTAAGTAAGTACCCCGAAATTTAATCTAAAAAATAATACAATAATTCATTATTATTTTCCGAAAATGACTTTATTTGTCCTCTGTTAGATTTTGGAAAAGTTAGAGAAGGGGCAATCAATTAACCTACAGTTTCATATGGCTTTTCTTATATTAAACGGGTTTAATGTCCTTTTCAGTTTCTAATGTTTTATTATGATCCGTGACCGCACTGGCCATCCTGTCAGCTACAGTGGAACAGTTTGTGTGTCTGTCAGTCTGGGCCTGGGTCTCTTCAGCAAGTGTTCCTCTTCTGCCACTACACACATACAAGCTACGCTTACACATGCGAACTGACCACCCAGTGTTGCGGTGACAATTTGGATTTATTTACGAATTAAAAACATTTATTGGAAGTTTTATTCTTTTTACATGTTTTACATAAGTTTACAGCATTAAACTTTGAAATGTATATTGTAATAGGCTATATATAACTTATTGGGAGAAAACTGGTAATTCTATGTAAAATCTGACGTTGAGCACCCCCATATCGCCAAAATGGCAGGATTCTTGTTTCGCTGCGAAGCTTCGACTGTGAGATTGACAGTCGAATCAGGCTCTGCATCGAAGCATCGAATCTTCGACTATTTGGGGTCAGTCCTAATAACAATTAAATAATACTGATAAATTCAACTGAATCAGCAACAAAAAACTTCTTCCTTAAAAGAGAAAGCAAGCATGTAACAAGATTTAACTGAAATGCAAGAATGAACACTTAATTTAGGGAAACACTTTCAACACCCTCCCTCCTCTGAGGGAGTAAACACGAGCCTACAGCTCCACATTTCCCGAGCACACAGCTCCACACTGCTGTCTGACCTTAACTGGTCCACTGACTCCATAAGTGTTATTTACACTGGGAATGCTGGGGACATGTCCTCACCACATTTTGAAATGGCTGATTTTGTCCACATCACTTTTTTAAAGTATTTGTTAAAAACATTGTGAAAAACAGCTTGCACCAAGAAATGTTAACTAACAAATGAAAATGCTTTGAGAAACGTTTTTTTGCACAATAAAAAAAACTTGCAATGCAATATAGTTTTCACTCATATAAAAAAGACATTTCCACTGTAAATTGGACCAGAAAATGTCTCCAGAATGCAGGAAATTACCAGTTATATGCTCAAATCTTCTGGGTGAGGACCCCTAGACCCCCCTCACATATATTTCAGCATTCAACAAGTATTGAATCTAGATAGTGCTAAAAATCTTCTTGTCTTGTTCTCGTGCATTGTCATGTCTCATGACCAAAATGTATCATCACGCTCCTAATCTGAGCCCTTATGTCCCCACCACTTTTCAACACAAAGTGACACCCTTGACTGACCTGCTCCGCTCTTCACCCGCTCCGCTCTAGCAGGCCTACTTATTCTCTCCAATACCTTTTGCAAGGTATTGTATGTATGCTACATTCTCATTAGGGGCTAAGCACCCCTAAAGGTCTGATCCTAGAATCGCCCCTGGGCTACAGCATTTTGAGAAGAGGAGTGAAATGATGACATTTCAAACATGCAGACTTAAGCACATATCTTTATTGTTATTAGGCTACTTTTTTAAATGTGGTATAAACAGTTAATTACTAAAACCGTACAAATTCATGTGTAGAACTACATGTTCGCTCAAATATTTGTCAAAATATTTTTCTTGGCTAAAAAACAGACACAGACGGTGCTTATGTATTGTGGTACATGACCGTCTGATTATATGTCATTGAAAGGAGCCTTTCAGTAACATTTTGAATGAAGGACTTCTGTGGTACTTTTAGCCACTTAGGCCTCAGAAAAGGATCTACTAGTCTACTTCTTGCGCCATGCCTACAAGAAAACATACACGCCTTCCCCACCTTTGTCTCTGGTGCGTAATGAGCTTGCGAAAGGAATTCAGCCTTTGGTTCCTTCTCGGCAACTTCTCTGATCGAGTTTGAGCTGCGACCGGAGCAGCGTCAGTTCCCCTTTCTGCGCTCACTGGTTTCTCGAATCTAATAACAACACAATAATATCTGGAATAATCTGTGTCTAAGTGGTTGGATGATGGATTTACGGATTTTTCTCCCTGCTCTTCTACTTGTCTTCGGATTGGCGACAGTTTGGGCCCAGTCTTCCGCACCTGGCGATGGTAGGAAATGATTTAATGCGTCACTATTTCATTATTAGGTCCCAGGTTAAATGTAAAGGATACAGAATCAAAAAATGATTGAGAGACTTTTCTTCGGACCTTAATTTTCTCTATTAAGGAAAGTACTGTTTAGCTCTTCTGTATCTTACATTTACAAAGATTAATGGGAACAAATCAAGGCGTAAGCAACCAAAAACTTTTTTGAGCTGTGTTGTTCCTGTGTCACACTTCCAGTATTTGTAGTTTCTGTTTGAAGATTATTTTCTTAAAATAATTCAGAAAATCTTAGGCTACATAAAAGCAAGATAAATATTGATTGCATTGATATCGTTGTGTCTTTCAGGGTAAATAAACTAGCAGAAATAGCTACAAACAAACCAGCCACACAAGAATGAGAATGTTTATTAACACCTCAATTTTACAGACCTGTGGCTACACAAGCCCCACTGTTGTCCTGTGTAGTCTGCTGATAAAACATGACTGGTCCAAAATCTGTGTTTTACTGTGCTGTGTCTCCATGGAGAATGTCCCAGGAGGATTAGCTGTAGTTACAAAAACCACAGTGAGCACAAACCTTCAGGTCTCAATTAATCTGATTCTATGTTTTCTGCTAATCTCTGCAAGATTAGAGTCACTTACTTTCTCTTGTGAGGCAAAAAGGACATCATGTTGTCCCATATTTGTTTTGGTTAAACTTACTTTTTTGCCCCACAGTGTGTGAGACAAAGAATGGGACAAGCTGTGAAGATTGTCTGAAAAACGTGTCGGTAAGTCCTGGGACTGATTACATGGATTTACATTATGTGTGTGCTTATATGAAAAAGAAAAGCAAATGGCTCCTCCTCCACTTCCACATGTTAGACTGGTTTAGGGTGTAACTGATGTGTCTTTCATTCCTCCTCCCCTATTTTCTACTTTTTATATGTGTGTGTCCTGTGTTTCCCTTGAATACCTCTGGATTCAATATTTGCTCAAATAATAACAAGGTAATTATGTGTTTGGTTATTTTTACAGTGCTTGTGGTGTATCCAAACCAAGTCCTGTATTACATCCAGTGAGAACCATCCTTCCACCGCATGCATTATGCCCACTGAATGATGCACGCTGGGGGCTCTGCTGGAGTAAGAGAGTGCACGTGCACACACATAAACACACACACACACACACACACACACACACACAGTAAACATAAGCTTGTTCAGGAGAGGTAAGCTAAATGCTTATGCCATGATAAACTGAATTACATTAAATGAAAATGGGTTTATCCAATGATACCCTGACCAAAATGACTCCACCAAAAGATAATCATTTTCAAATGACATAAAACAGAAAAGCAGCAAATCACTTTTGAGAAGTTTGAATCAATGGGTTTTTGGTGTTTTTACTTGATGAATAAATTACATGAGTCACTTTAAAACAATACTTGCAGGTTAATCTTCTGTTGATCGACTAATAAATGTATTAACTTGTAAGTACTTCTAAGCTCTTATATACCATGGCTACAGAAAATAAATTTTTTCTGTATGTAGTTTCCTGAATTCGGTTTTACAGTTCTATTGCAGCAGCTCACTATAGCAATAGCACCTCCTTTGTGCTAATAACCAGTTTGCCAATAGTAAGTGGATATAGCCAAGTACAACACCTCATCCTCAATTTTCGTAAATCAGGAAAAACTTAGCATGTATTTTAGCAAACATAGTGCTCACAATACATGTTATTTATATTACAATTAGAAAACCATGACATAAAACCATTAGATATAATACATTTTCTGGAAAAAATATATCTATCTAATATCTCTTTAGAGTTGATAATAGATACAATAACCAGGGATGTTTTGCTTAATACATCCCTCCGTGCTTTGCTGTAGGTTGAAACAGAAGATGGTTTATTTGCCAAGTAGGTTTTTAACATACAGTACAAGGAATTTGCCATGGTTTTAGTGAACAACAGAAAAAAGTACTGCAAAAGTCGAAAAGCATAATTATACAAAATTAAATAATCCAAAATAAAAGAGATAATTGAAAGAACAAAAATATTGACCAAAGAATGTGCAAATGTTGACAGTATAAAGAGTATGTGCAAACTATCCAAGATCATAAACATATTAGACTTAGCAAGCACGTCATGGTCCGACAACAGCAAAATGCTGCTTACACAATAACGGTGATTTTAAACAACAAATGAAAAAAGGAGAACTACGGAGAGAAGTAGAACTTTTTTTT